TTAGTCATAGTGGTAGGAATAAAGAAGTTCTTGTAATATTTTTACTTCTTATTTGGTTTATAGCCTATGCCAGATTTTTGTTGATTCAAAATTTTATTTAATTATCTCTACCTTTAACAAATTTTGCAATAGTGTTTTTCAAATCTTCTTTTTTAGAAATATGAAGAGAACAGTCAGTGCATGAAGTATCCTTTTCTAAAAAAGAAATATTCTTTTTCAAAGCATCATTCTCAGTTTTGAGAAACAAGTTTTCTTTTTCAAAAATAGCAAGTCTCTTTTTTGCTTGTGAAAGATTTTTTATAAGAAGAAAAGATTCATTATGCAGTTCTTCAAAAGTAATTTTTGGCTCTTCAAATATGAAATCAAATTTAGAGTCAGAATTTGAATCATTTACCTAATCTGAATGACTTTTGGCCATTAAGTACAAATTTGTTTCTTCTTCTTCTTCTGTGGACTCCCCATCACTATCACCCCAAATTGAAGAGAGATAAGCCTTGAATTTCTTCTTATTATATTTGTATCTTTTACTCTCTTGCTTTAGAGGACAATCAGCCTTAATATATTTAAGCTTCTTGCATTTGTAGCAAGTTATCTCTTTTTCTTTCTTCTTTGAGAATTTCTTCCTAAACTTTTTCTTTCCAAAGAATTTGTCAAATTTTTTGACAAACATAGCCATTTTTTCATCAGACTCATCACTGTCACTTGCTTTAGACTTAGATTCCTCCCTTATCACTTTTAAGGTAAGTAACTTCTTTTTATCAACATCTTCTTTCATCATGGAAAGTCTTCCTTCATTATCGGTAAGACTTCCAAATAGAGCTGCTACAGACCTTATATAATCACTTTTTGCTTCTTTAATGATAGTGATTTTAGTTTGCCATTCTGTTGGGAGTCCTCTCATAATTTTTCTGACTTGCTCCTTTTGAGTGTAAGTTTTTCCAAGTGCTGCAAGCTCGTTCATCATGTGAGTATATTTGACTTACATGTCCTTAATGCTTTCCCCAAGCTTCATCTTGAATAACTCATATTGCTGAGTCAAGGTGCTCATTTTATTTTCCTTGACTCCTTCAGTACCTTCATGAGCAATGGTCTCCAAATTACTCACTTTGAAACATTCTTATTGACTTAAGGCACTTGCAATAATTAACTTTGCCTTGGAGTTGAACAGCATAAGTTTTTCTTCCTTTTCAGTAAATTCACTCCTCTCTTTTCTTATAAGTTGTCCTTCTATAGTTTTGAATGGAATGTAAAGACTATTTTCGACAATCTATCATAAATCAAGGTCTGAGGCCTTAAAAAATAATCTCATCTTACTTTTTCAAAAAATATAGTTTTCACTATTGAATCCAGGAGACCAATTAATTTCAATACCTTTAGGGATAACACTATTACCAAAGCCAACCATAGGATCCTTTTAAACTATTAAGTCTTTTATCAAGGGCCCAAGCTCTGATACCAAATGTTAGGATAGGTTGGCACCTAAGAAGGGGTGAATTGAGTGACACTTAAAACTTTTTAAAACTTGAAAAGAGTAAAGAATTAAAGAGTGAAGGAAGAAGTTGACAAGCTCAAGATTTATACTAGTTCAGCCATAAACTTGGCATACGTCTAGTTCTCAATATCACACTTGAGATTTTCAACTAAAAACACAAACTTCAATAGGTGCTTGCCACCATAGTATAACTCTCAAGACTAACTATGTCTTGAATCACTTATCATACCTAGCTACAATCCAGCAAGTTATTACAACACTTGAAAAATCATTTTCAAAATTTTTGAGATGATAACAGAAGCTTTTTATAGAAAAATTTTTAAAAAGAGTTTATGAGAATACAGATGAAAGCTTATAAATCTTTAAGAGCTTTTCACAATTCTTTTCAAAAATAATGAATGAATGCAATATATAAAATTACAATTTGAAAGCTCTTTTAATGTACAAATCATATTATGTTTACTCAAAAATTATTAGTCCCTTTTCTGGTTTAAAATGAATCACTTATATAATTTTTGAAAGTTGACAAATCGTTAGAACAGTCATTTTATCCGTTAGTACATTTTCTTATGAGTGACTGGCATAATCACATGTTTTTGCACTAAAGAAGTTTCATAAAGCTGAATGTGACAAATCACGTATGAACACCTTCTCCTCTCATACATGGTTTTGCACTTTTGAAAGATCATTCAATTATGTGTGCTTAATCATGAGTGGTACTATGTTGGTCTCTCGTGTGATTTTGCATTTATGAATAATCATTTAGTTTTGTGTGCTTAATCACATGTGATACCTCATTTCTCTTTCGCATGGTTTTGTACTTATGAATATACTATCATAATAAAGTGCTAAAACTTGTGAGTGCACCACTTACTCTCACGTGTGGTTTTGCACATCAAAAACTATCATCAATTCTATGTGACAAATCATGTGTGGAACCCTTACTCTCTCTTGTGTGAAATGGTTGGCAAAATGCCAAGGCCATTTAATGTGATCAAAAATTGTATGGGACCAAAACATATCACGCATGAAATTTCAAGTGCTAATGTATAAACTTGTCAGATGCATATTCACGAGTGGAACTCAACACCACTTAAGCAAGATTTTGCATGATTAAGAGATATGAATTTGTGAATCAATGATTATACATGTGAATAATTTTAGCTTGGCTTGAGAGGTTTTAAGACTCAATAAAAACAATGTGAGAATGTTCAGAAAGTGACAAATCATGCATGGTACCATCAGTGTCTCACATGTGGTTTTGCACTTAGTTATATTTCAATAAAGCTCAGGTGCTAAAACTTGTGTGAATACTAAAGCTTTTTACCTATAGTTTTGCATGCAGAGATAAAGCATAAGGCAAGATACCACACAAGTGCTTAATCATGAGTGAAGTACTTCTTCATACTTGGATGATCTAACAGTCAATGTGCCTAACATGCAAAAACTCATGAATGACCTACAGAATCATGCATGATTCTGCCTCTTTACTATACAAATTTTTTCTATGAAAAACCATATGCAAGAGAGCCAAAGATTTCAAACTTTTAACATACTTAGATGAGTCTTAATACATATAAAAGAGTCATATGATGCATTCATTTAATGACTTAAGAAAGGTAATTAAGCTCTCTAAGTTTTCACATTGAATCTAAAAGAATTTAAAATTACTTATCCTAAACTTCTTAATCTTCTCTTGATTCTTCATGCTCTTAAAGTTTTGTTTTCATCCATGATTCTTTATATCTGCACACATAACAAATACCTCTTTTCTTAGTTTTGTAATTATCAAAACACATGATCCAACAAAGCTTTCTTTAGAGTAATAGAGAAGATCAAAAGAAATTGCACTCGATATCTTGGAACAAAGTTAAACTTCAAAAGACCACAGGAGCTCTTGGCATAAAGGATCTTCAAATGCAAAATGTTGCTTTTATAATGAAACTTTACTGGGATCTACTTAGCAAACCTAAGAGTCTCTAGGTTAAATGCCTTAAGGCTAAGTATAATTATGGTACGGGGGAGATTTCGGTGGTTGTTAAGAAGAGATCCGGTTCCCATGTTTGGAATAGTATTGTTAAGGTTTAGAATAACTTTCTTTAAGGAGTTAGAAAAAGGATTAACAATGGTGCTAGTACTAGTTTTTGGTAAGACTTGTGGACTCCTTTGGAACATCCTCTAATTAATTATGTCTCTAATCCTGAAGTTCCAATTAATCCCCAAGCCAAGGTTTGCAATTTCTTTTCCTCTTCAAGTACTTGGAATAGGAATAACCTGTCCAAAGATTTCTCTTTTGAAATTGTCAACAAAATCTCCAACGTACAACTCTAGAACATCCAACAAAATGGTATTTTCTAGTGGAAAATTGGAAGTGGTGGAAGATTCTCTGTTCATGCTACTTATAACTTCCTTGTTAACACTGAAAAAAGTGAAATACTTCTTTTGGCAGATTCTACATGAGAGAATTCCTAGCAATAAATTGAGAGGAGATAGGTTCTACAACTAATGCAAATTGCCTTTTTGAGTGTGAATGTGAGAAAAACATTATTCATATCTTGAGAGACTGCTTGAGAGCTAAAAACACTTGGAAAAAAATTATTAATCCTGTTTATTATAACTTTTTCTTTTCTTGCAATTAGCAGGAACGGATTAAGTGGAACACAACACACCAGCTCAAGGGTGGACTCTTTCAAAGCCGGCCCTAGATTAAAGTTTTTGGTAGCCTATGTTGGCTACTTTGGGTACACAGATGCTCAAATATCTTTGATGGGAGTTTCCATAATTCAAATGATAATAGTCAAGCTTGTAGAAGATATGTGATGGAAGAAAGCATCCAAAACATTCTATTTGCCACCTTTCCTTAAAGATTAAAGAACCAAGGACATCAATGGATTGCACCATCATAGGGACTAATTCGAGAAGATGTTGATGCCTCTGTTAACCATTGGAACAATGCTGCTTGTGGAGAATTAGCTCATAATTTGAAAGGTAAATGGTTGTGTGGTTTTACCTACAACTTGGGAAGATTTCTGGTTGCCATTGCTGAATTAAAAGCCATTAAGTATGGGGTGGAATGATGCCTAAATTTAAACACTGATAGGGCAATAATTCACTCAGATTTATCAACCTCATGCATAGAAGAGTGAGCAATGACCATCCTTTTTCATGTGATATTTTTGAAGTACAAGAGTTGCTTTTTGCTCACAAAAATTATAAGCTAACATATACTCCACGTGAGACGTTGTCTTGTGCTGATCACTTGACCAAAATGGCACATAATTCTTTTAGGGAATTGATTTGCATGTATGAGGAACCTGTAGAATGTGCTGATTTATTTTCATATGATCATGGTGGGGGTCTGTCCCATCAAGACTAATTTGGGATCTTTTTTTTTTTTAGCCTTGGCTAACCCTGTTAATGAGAGAGAAAAAAATCTACTTACAATAAAAAAAGAATCCTTTCTTACACGTGGGAAATTCAAATGCAATTTAATTGCAGCACACACGCCTCAAATGCTGCAGGAAAACAATATTATGGAGCTATCATTCCATTTCCACCACTAGCAAAAACATACTTCCTGACCCCAAAAAAAAAAAAAAAGAGCCAAAAAAACAAAGTGAAAGAGACCACTAAGTATCAAACTATAAATAATACTCCTCTAGCTCTAGCTAGTTTAGGTGATGGATGGTTGAGATTATAGGATCAAACTTTCTTGATATATATATATATATATATAAACACTTCATGAAAAAGTTGTGTCATGTAGGAAATTAAAGATCTGACTTGAACGGTTGAAAAAGGCCATGTTGGTTCCAAGTCTCAGGCGCTTTGTGCTGCTTCCAAAAAGGCGTTAAATTCTTCCCTAGCCTTTTGCAACCGAGGCGTAATGCATGATGATGCAGGCGAAGCCGGAGAAGACGGAGTGGAAAATCGAACATGGCGAGGCGATGCATCCGACTTTCTGTTTCCTCCCGGGGATCCATTCTTGAGCACTCCTTTAATGTCCTTGTTATTATCGAACACGAAAGCCGCCGCCACCGGCGAATGTGCATCCTCGCCGCCGCCGCATCTGATTAACTCCGAGGGTAGATCGAAATACGAACTCACTGATTCGTTCCCTTCCACCTGATCCTGTACCGGCTTTATGGCCCTGGGTGATGGAGCCCAGGAACCACACTCGAATTTCTCCAGAGAAACTGTTCTTGATATTACACGATCCATACTTGAAATTTGTGATTCTTCCTTTTTAGGTCTCACTGGCTTGGCTTTTCCAAATCCTGGAAGGTACAGACAACTGCATTTGAATCCTTTATCTGCAGGAGGAGGATCGATGTTCTTGCGAGCAGTAATCCTGCTACTCCTAGGACTGTCTTTCATGGCTTCAGGTTTCTGGAAGCTTCCTTGACGGTGAGTATTGGTGGTATCGCGTTTAATTACAGACCAAAGATCAAATTCATCTGAGGGTGGACACGCCCTTCTTTCACCACAAGACTTGCTCTTCTGTAGGTAAGATTCTGCAGGGTATGGTGGGGATTCTAGGCTCTCAACTTTGGATTTCTTCTTGGACAGGAAGCGAGGTGAGGAAGTGGCGGAATTCGGTTGGCTGATGCTCAAGAACTTGGACTTTGGAGGCTGTAATGGTGGTGGAAAAGAAGTTGCTTCTTGCTGTTTCAGGGACAGAGGATCCACAACAATCTGCTTCTCTTGTTTTTGCGGGCTTTCTTTGATCATTATATGATGGTGGTAGCGATCCTCAGTGGTGAGTGCAATGGCGTACCTTCTGCTGATAGGAATTGTTTCATCAGAAATCTGAGGCGCCATGGCAATGAAGTTTTTGGAGAAGAAAGAAGATTGCAACAATATTTATGGGAAAAAGGAGGAGCAGAGCATGCATTGCACGCACGTCCATTCACATCTCGGTCGTGGTAACCATGTTCTACTGTCTCCAATATAATTATACAAGTCTAATTCATCTGACTTCGTATTTGTCCCCCCCCCCCCCCCCAAAAAAAAAAATCCTTTGACTTTGTCTGAGGATACGTTGACCTGTCACTCATATATAATACTCTTTTAGTCCATATACTCCTTTCGGACTTAAAAATTTAAAAGATATTTTATGGTAAAGACGGAAGAAAGGAGGCGTCAGATAACAAATTTATCTTATTAAAAAAATTACTAATTACTTATAAGTTACTCTTTTTGTCCTATTTATAAAATATTTTTAAAAAAATTATTCTGTTTTTAAGGTGTTATGATATTTTTAAGTAATCAAATAATTTTACTTTGTTTTGAAAAATGAAGGAAATATTAATTTCATATTTTACCCACCACTACCATGAAATTAATTATGATATTATTATGGACAAAATTAAAAACTTATCATAATTTTATGTAATTTTAATTGAATAATAAATTTTTATTGATATACAGGATTTTATTAGAAATACTTTACATAGAAGGACGGAAGGAGTAGCTTTGGTAATACATGTGTATTGATTTTCTAAAATACTCCTCTTTTTAAGCATTTACCTTGAAAGCTATCCTTTATGGATTAAATATATTAATGTGTGCAAATAACAATGCAATATGAGTAGTTTGCGAAAAAAATAATAATAAACATGGGGAAGTTGGTTCTATTGATTTTGATGGAAGTGATCTTCACAAGAAAGCTAATTCAAGCATATCAAACATGTAAAATTTGGAGTTTCACTTACACTTTCATTTCTCTGCCTTCACTTCCATGCTACTATTAGGACCAAGATAAACTCTTCAACTAGTTCTTATATTTAAGCTTTGAATGAAATTACTTCTGGTGAAAGACCTGAAATATAATTTCCCTTTTTCTTATAAACAATATAATTTCCTTTTTTGGAATAAAAAAGCTACATATATAAAGATTGTTCGTGAGGGGGAAAAAATATAAAGTTAAGTATTCACGATTTATGAATTAATAAAAACTATTCAAGCAAATGTTGCATATGGCAGTACCCTAAACCATTCATTTTGAGGATTCTCATTATTTTTGTATCACTATGGAAAGAATATGGAAATTATTATTTTTCATGGTTTGGTTAACACATGCTAATACATATTTTGGCCAAAAAAAAAAAGCACATACTAATACGTATATTTTGACACACACTGACAACATGAATACTGTGACTATCAATGTTCAAATAATTACCAACCAGACACGTTTTTCTGTATATTATATAAAAGTTCAGAAATGAGGTGTACAATTTGTTACTTATGATTAGTATACTTGACGTACATCATGTCATTATATACTTTTATATTCATACTGATAATTCCTTGCACTTCTTTACATTGAACCACAAAAGCACTTGAGAACCATTTGGTTCACACGTTAGGTCGTATTAAATAAGCCAATCTTTATTAGCTCATAACTAACAACTCGAATATAGTACAATGGTCGGCAGCACATGCGCATGATAAAATAACGCTCGAGCAAGAGTATTAACTGGCCTGCATCACATAGAAATACTCAAATGTCCAAGCATTTAAAAAAAAAAATGTAAAGAGCCAAGCAATACTATTCAATAATTAACTACTACTATTAAAAAAATGTTAAGTTTGTAAATTTAACTATACATACGTACACACATATATTCAGGTGTATATAAATCTTTTTGTCAAATATATCAAACTTCATATTATTATTTATTTTTATTATTTGACACATCAAATTTTATATTACCTAATATTTTTATCATATATATTTCCCAAACAGTTCAGATATTGTATTTGAATAATAAAATTACAAATGATAAAAATCAATGTTTTTTTTAATAATAACACATTTAAAAGCACTTTTCATAATATGTAATTCAAACCTTCAGTTTATCAAATTGAGTTTCAAAATAATATATCTTAACATATAATAATATATAATCCAAACAATCCTCAATTTATCAAATTTAAGTTTCAAAATAATATATTTTAATATAAATTTCACTATAATGACTGACTTTTTTTGTAACAAAAAGGAAGATATCAAATTGATTTTTGATATTAATTTTTAACAAATTACCTTTTGACCGGCCCTATATTGAAGGGCCTCAGCTTTTCTGAGGACGAGACATTTTACAATGCATTTGGAAGACACGTTGAAGATTTCAATTGAGAAGCCTTGTTGGAATGGCGTAAGCATAATACATTAAATGATGAATTTCTACTGGAGAGAATTGAAAAACAAAATCAAAACTACAGAGATTCCTATAATTACAGGAAAAGCTGTCACCAAATACAGCGCTCCATAACCCTGCAGGATAAAGAACCTCCTCAGTAGAAAAGCTCATAGCCTCATTAACAAGAAAACATGATTCTGAAACTAATAATGACATGTAGGAACTCTTCATGTGCACCAACAAAATTGGGCTGTTCATAGCCCACAATGTCTCCTGTCCTCCCTTAATTACTGCATGTTCATAAGTCAACCAATATATTGTGAAGGTACCATAATGGAGGGAGTGTAAAATTATCAGCAGATTTTAAATAAATCAGTACTTGCAATAAAATGTTGCCATGAGTATTTTATAAACGCTGTACTGTAACTTAGACCTGGAATCAATTATTGTTTATCACAGAGGCAAGGCAAAGCAAACAAAAGAATAGCAAAATATTGGATTTGAATTCAGCAAGTGCCTTAAATCCATTCACTCAATGAGTATCTTGTGTGGCACAATAACAACCATTCAATTTAATTGAATGGCTGTCAGAAATTTCATTATATACTACTCAAAAAATATCAAATCTTAAATTTTTAGAGGGGACAACCTACATGAAAAGTGTTATGATCGTCAAGATTATTTTGACTTCTATTGAAAAGAAGTATATCTTGATAAATTTTAAATATTGATGAAATCCAATAATTATAAATGAGACACTTATTGAGTAAGTAGACTTAAGCCACTTATCAAATCCAAATCCCAAAATATTGTACTGGAGGAAGACTAGGAACTGACCACAGCAGGGGGCACTTCCGTGTCATCACCGTCTGTACTATCTTCAATTTCAGCAGCTGAATCCCAATCAACATTCAGTCTCTTTGCAGCCTCTTTAGGATCGATTCCGGTGTCAGTGGCTCTTGCATAGAGGGATTTGCTGGGCTTTGTCTTCAGTGCTTCGGCCTAGAAAAGGGGAAAATATAGTAATTACTAATCAAAATCAATTGGATATATAAGAAACCTGAGGAGGGATTAAAGTTTTATTATTATAAAACTGTCACCTGTATAAATTAGTCACAAATATGTATCTTCACATGTAGCTACATCATTTGAGAGGCATCTAATTATTCAACATACCGAAACATCTAGAGAGTACAAGCAAGCTACCCAGCAAGTATGTGTTTTATATATCTAAATTAGTTTCGTAATTTAAAAAGAAAAAAAAAAGGTTTTGCAATTGGTCATGACAAACCTCTTTTCCTTTACTGCAAAGTGAAAACTAAACACGGCACATCCTCAACTTAATTTCTGCATAATCTTAACCAATTCTGACTAGGCTGCAAACACATAAAAGAGATATTGGCTATGAAAGGAACCCCACAAACAGGCCATGACCATGCTACAGAAATATAGTGGGAAAGGTGCAAATGGATCGACTAGCTGCTTTAAGGACTTTGGAGCAGCCATGCCACCACCATCTCCCAAGTTTGGCTGCTTCATGAGTGGTCTAACCATGAGCAGCTAAAATTTGCTGGGAGAGTAAACCCACATACAGGGCCATGCTACAAAACATATACCAAAAAAGGGTGCAAATGGGTGGACCAACAATCCTAGAAACTTGGGGACAGCCTTGCGATCCATGACAAAAGGCCACACATTGATATTGGGTTTAGCCACATGCTTGGTCATGGGAAACCTCCTTTTCTTTACTGCAAAGTGCAAACTAAACATGAGGCATTCTCAATTTCTGCTTAATGACTAATAATAGAGTAAGCACATCATGCTCAATTTACACATTTCCCTTGTGAACAGTATACACTTTACACTATCAGTCATATCCATCATATATTAGATTTCTAGACTAAAAGTTCAAGATTTGAGAGTTTAATCCTGAACTATAAATTGACATTGAGAGCTTCATTCAAGGGAGAGTATACTGTCACTGTGGCCTGGATAAGAGAACTGATACAGTATGAAATGATGCTCAAATGAGCCACAGGCAGATAACTTGTATCATTGAATAGAAAATTATAACAGTTCAGTAACAAACAACAGCACATGTTTAGCAGAGGAAAAAGAGAAAAGCAAAATTAACAGAGGGAAGGAGAAGAATTAGAATTACAGGGAGAAGAAGCTATAACAATTTTCGACACCTTCTATGCCACCCTTGCCTTCTATTTTATATTCTCATTTCCATGCCCTACTTGAATTCCTCCAACTTGAGTCCATTTAAGTAAGTTTCTGGCCCATGTCTTTCCGTATCATGACATTACCCTCCCCTTGAAATTAACCTTGTCCTCAAGGTTAAGAGCATGTATAGTGGCTGATAGCAAACATAGAGCATTATCCCCTTAAAAAGTGCCAATGCAGTAGCTACATGGCTGTCGTCAAGCGCAGCAGGTAATGCTAATGTATAGGTAGGTGATTCGTGTAGTATAATGAGTAAGGAAGTGATAGGATACCTAGATGGCAAGGAGAGTAGAGAACAAAAGAAGAAAATCCAAGGTTGAGTCCATGTTGAGAAAATGGGTCAGCAATGGTATGAAGTGGATCATAAAAACATCCCGTAGACTATATGGCATTCCTAGTGAAAGCATAGGAAAAATCAACAGAAATGCTCCCTGAGGAAGCAAAAGTTCTTGAGGGAGTATAAAGAACTAGTTGGATAAAAACAACTATGATTGTACAGACAGGTGGACCCAAACCATTCCAAGAAACAAGAATGCAAGAGACCCGACAAATTGGTTGATGAAAGTCTAAGTGTGATGCATCTTTAACAAGTCCAAAATGCACAGCAGCCTTCTCAATGGAATCTTGTAGAATTTTATTGATGTTTTTCTTCAATGTCAATGTGAAGAAACTGGGAGGGGGAGAATTATCTTGTATTCCACAAGAGTCGAATGACTCAGTATATACAGCAGAGGCCAAAAAATATGGCCTAAAAATCAAGGAAGGAGAGATCCAAGAAATCATATAAAATCCTATCTAATAAAATAAAATATTTACAGAATCAAATATTTATTCGGATATCTACACTCCCCCTCAATTTGGTTGCCTAAATAAGAGCACAGATGCAGTGTGAAATTCTACTCAAATGAGCCACAGGCAAATGACTTGTATTATTCAATAAAAAAATAAATGGTTATGCTGGGCTAAGGATTGTATAAGGCAGAAAGTGGGCAAAAAGTAACCATTTCAAGATCAGGAGAGGCATGAGATTGTTTATGGTTGTACAGAAAATGTTCGAAAGGCTTTCGCACATAGAAAGAAGAATGAAAAATGAGACAGCCAAGGAAACTTGACTCACAAGACTTCAAATATAAACTCATGTCAATTCAACACAGTTCTCAAATCTTAGGTCAATTCAACATTTGCAAAACTATAAAAAGAAATATCTATGCTATCAAGGGAAGGCAGCAATGTTAGTGACTACGAGGCCATATTAAGAAACAAAGAAGTTCATATCTTTTTTCTTTTTTTTTTTTGGGACAAACAAAGGAGTTAGTATCTTTAAAAGCTTTTCATTTGGTAGGAGCTCAATTCTCATCATTAAAAAAAAAATTGTTGTATTGATGTATTTTACAAGACATTGGAAATATTAACACCCCCATTTTACAGGACATTTCGAAACGGTTATTATCACATGACCAAGTTTAAGCATGCCTTGTGTCCGAGAAAAGAAAGTATAAGCATACCTCTAAATTAGGCCATGAATTTAATTCCTCAGCTAGCATCTTGAGAGCAGCTTTATTCTTTGGGATTTTTCCTTCGTTTACCTACCAAATAAAGGATCACACTATTTACCCTTAAGGAAAAGTAAAGCAAATGGAATTAAGATCACATTAGGAACGATGTATTAATTAGTGGTGTAAAGGTGGCATATCCTTTTTGTTTTTTTTTTTTTAATCATGTGTAAAGGTGGCATATCACCATAACTTTTTGTAGAAAGAAGATGAGTCAGATTTCTTAGTTGCATGTAGCAGTCATAGCATAGGGCCAAACTTACTTCTTCCAAAACAGCAACAAGATCATCCCTTGTTGGGGCATCAGGATCTTCAATGCCAAGCAATCTTCTTCTCTCAACTTCCCTGGGGTCCTCAATCATTATTGTTAATTTAACCTATGTATAAAGAATAGAAGGAAAAAAAGAAAGAAAGAAAGAATCACTGGATCATTATAGGCAAGGCCGCAAAGACTCTAATTTGGGGTGCAATGAACAATCATTAACAGAAGCGCTCCTTTTAATCTGAACGAACATGAAGAAGACAAAAACTTTTTATTTCCACTTTATCTTTTATATTTTGAAATTCAATTCTTTCTGTTACCACATTTCATCTCCTCTTTCCCCCACGCATGTTCAAATAATCAGTAATTTAGGAATAAAGTAACGAAAATATTTGCCTCAGCCTCACATGACAACAGCCTCTATTCACACCCTTGCCCCTTTCCCCTCTCAGTACTCGCAAGCCTTTATGCCCCACTGAGTAACCACTAACCAGGAATCGACAAAAGTGTTGAAAATGGTTGCAGCATGAAGTCAAAAGAACAAAACAAGTGAAAGTACCTCACCGAAGAGCATGTCCCTGTTAGTCCTCAGAAGCTCCAGCACCTACAAGCGCGCACGAAAAAGCAATTAAGAACCGGGAAATGATGGAAGATCAATCACAGAAAGATGGGTGCGTAAAAATTTCACAATTCAGAGTAGGATAAGATATACATACTGTTTTAACTTGGTTAATGTATTCAAGGTCTTCAGCGGTTGGATCGGCATCCTCATCCTGCTCAGACGAGACGCGCAGTTCAGTGTCTTCCTTGCCCACAAGGGGAACCACAACGTTAGGTGAGCGTTGGCTTTGGCGTTGGCGATTGCGGAAGGCAAGGCTGGGCCTTGAGAATGATTCATTGCGAAACGAAGAACGGTGTACGAACTTGGGAAGACAAGAAGAAGAAGAAGACGAAAACGAAAGCGGCAACAATTGGGATGCCATGGCTAAGGATGCTTCCCTTCTATCATCTTCGACAGGTTCCTGCTTCTTCCATCTCCAATTTCTTAAAAACCATTAATCCTAAGCTTGCGGAGATAATTTTATTTTCCTAATTTCCAAAACTTGTAAAATAATATATTAATTATAAATATTATATTAATTAAGTAAGAAATAATAATATCCACATGTGGCAAAAAATAATAATATCCATATAAAATATACAATTTATAATAAAATGTATTATTTTTTCTAAGCAAAATGTATTCATAAAGAATAAATGAATAATGCATCTTTCTATTTTGTGGACTTGCATATTGTGATAATGGCAAGGTTGAGGTTTTTGTTTTTTTTTTCCCTCCTGAACTATTTGGATTTGCATTTTTAGTGATATTCTAAATACACTCACTTAATCAATATCTCAATTATAATAATTAAAATTTTTTAATATTTAAAAATTATCAAGATATATGTTCCTTAAAAAATTTAAAACAACCAACATGATCAGGATACCCCTTACTCATGATGTTCCCTTAAAAAATTTGAAATTTAATATTTTTTTAGTATTATATGACAAAATCATTAATAGATTAAATTAAACTAATACTATCATGTGATTGTTGTATGTGTGTCAAAAGTGTGTGTGTATCAAAGTCCCACTAGTGGTTATATATTCACTCTTGCTGATGGTGCAATAATCTGGAAGTCTGCAAAACAGACAATCAACACAAAATCCTCAAGAGATTCTAAGTTCATTGCCATAGAGCTGGTTGGGACTAAGGCTGAGTGATTGAAAAATTTCTTAGCAAATATTCCAATAGGTGAAAAGCCCACACCATCAGTGTCTTTACATTGTGATAGCTAGTCTGCAGTAACAACGACTAAAAATAAGATTTTCAATGGCAAAAGTAGACATATTCGATTGAGACATAATATTATGAGGCAGCTGCTCAAAGATAGGGTCATCTCAATCGATTATGTGAGATCAGAGTTAAATTTGGCGGATCCGTTAACTAAACCCTTAGGAAAGAAATTTATTATTGAAACGTCGAGGGGAATGGGACTTAAGTCTGTTTGAAATTAACGGTAATGGCAACCCAACCTTTGTGATTGGAGATCCCATGAAGAAGGTTCAATGGGTAAGAACAAGTCACTTGTTAGTTATGTTAGCACTGAATTTTATCCCTTCTTATGGCTTGAGAAAGTGCTAGAATGTATTGAACGGAGGCTAAGCGAAAGCTCTTAATGTTTACATAGTCCTTATAGATGGTATATTCATTGCAGATATACTTGATGAAAATACCTATACAAATGTAGAGTGGGGTCGCTCCTATGAGATCGTGGCGAAATCTCTAAAGCATTTGTTAAAACCAGGCGTGCGCATGGCCGATAACGTGCAAAACCATCGTTAACAGCAAAGACTGTGGGGGTATAGTCTGATTTATATGACCTCTAGCACATGCTCAAGATCTATTGGTTCAATAACGAAGTTATACTGACTTTTCTGTGTGCTAAGTTTTATTAGTCTAGGTTTGGTTCAAGTCGACAAACACCAAATTCAAAGTGATTATCCTCCGTGTGAATAACTCAGATGAACATAGATCCTTTTGACACATGTGGGGGATTGTTGTATGTGTGTCAAAAGTGTGTATGTGTCAAAATCCCACATTGACTAAAAGAAAGACTCTCATAGTGTATATATACTAAGGAATGAAGTGGGCTAGTAAAATGGGCTTGGAGGAGAAGTGGCCTCGCGCACTTGAGACAAGCCAACACAAGGCAATTGCAGTTGAAACTGGGTTCCTTTTACCGGGTTATTTTTACAAAAATAATTAAATAAATAATTATTTTTAGCTCACCCGAAAAACCTTTAATTTTGCTGTTTTGAATTTGAACTTAAGGCCTTGACAGTTTTTGGATATTAAACCTCTTCTGAAAACTAATTTTGTGGGTTAATGACTTAAACAATTTGTCTGGCAAATAGATTAATGAACCCCAAATGTTTCCGAATTAATGGATGTGTGCGTTTTTGCTGTTTAAGGCGTGCGTAACTAAAGCATTAATCCATGAACGTTTTGTTGTTTAATGTGTGTGTAACCAAAGCATTAATTGGTGATTATGACCTAGCATTTGTGTCTCCATCTTCGAGCTATATAAAGCCCCTGGGTGTTGACAAAAAGGGAACAAGCCTCTTGAGTTTTCGAGGTTCTCTTCTCCTTTTGCCTCCTCTTCGTATATTCATCTATGTTAACTTTAGCCTCTATTGTTCTGCTCCCTTGCTCCGCTGCAGGAAGTGCTTGTTTAATCCTGGAAAGTTGCCGGTCCGTCGTCCAGGTGTACCGGGATAATTCTTAAGGATAGTGTCTTTTCAGGCACAACTCAAGCAATTTGAAGTTCGCTGTTCACGTCTGCCGCCAGTGCCACCTACAGTGACATTAGACACTTATTGAGTAAGTGTATTTAAGCCATTTATCGAATCTAAATTTAGACTGTTGTTTAAAGATCACCAATGTTTTAAACAATTTGATGTGGGAATTTTTATCCATAAAGTAATTAAAAATTAGCATATATTTTCTTGATGTTAAATACATCAATATTGAATGTTAAAAATGATGTCTAGAACATAAAGTCTTACAAAAAATGCCACTTGCCATGCCAAGTGAATTTAAAAATATATTACATTTTAATTATTTTAGGGAAAAAATTAGAGACTTTTATAGATATAGCATATATTATAAAACCAAACTAAGTAAATAGCCTAATATTTATTATATTTTGCATTATGACCGGCTTATTATATTTGTAAATTATATACCTTTGCATATCAATAATAAATTCTTTATAAATTTTCAATGATAAACCCTTTATATATCAATAATAAATCTCTTATATATCAATGTGAACTGACCATACTTTCAAATTTTTAAAAATTTGGTCTATATTTTTTAGACACAATTTTTTTAAATCAATGGACTAATTTATCCAAAAAAAATAGTATACAACAAATAGTTTGAAATACTAGTGCTCCTTAAAGATTAATTTAAAAGAAAAAATATAATTTAACCTTTAATAGTAATATTACATTATTACTCAATATATTTGAAAAATAGTTTTGACAAATAGTTTTGTTTTGTTAAAAAAATGTATTTGTTTTGAAAAATCATTAGACATTTTAAATTATTTATGAGAACATTCCTTTCACAATATTCTTGCGAAAATTGATATATTTAATATTTACAAACATTAAAATTAATATATTTAATATGTGTGTGTATTGACTAAAGTTTATTATCTCATTCATTTCTTTATTACTAGTATAATTTAATTTTTTAAAAATGTATGAATTTTTTTAAAGGGAAAATCATTATCAGGGCATGCAACCATTTTAAATACTCAAAAATGTCTTCAAATTTATAAATAATTGGGAAAATAATAACCAAATTCCTCCAAATTATGTAAATGGCAATTTTGTTTCTCAAAATGCCATAGTATCAATGAAGTTCCCAGATACCTTTTTGTTAGTAACTTTTTTAGAGAAAAGACCATTTTATCATTATTAATAAATTGTGATTTTTTGTTTAAGTATTGCAATTTTTTGAAAAAAGTTGTAATTCTTTAAACAAAAGTTATAAATGGAGTTTGTTATTTTGATAACTTATTTTTCAATAATAGAAATTATACTTGATAAATATTATATTAATTAAGTAAGTAATAATAATATCCATATAAAATATAAAATTTATAATAAAGTGTATTATTTTTTAAGGAAAATGTATTATTCATAAAGAATAAATAAATAATGCATCTTTCTTTTCTTTTTTTGATGGCAAAAAGAAGACTCAACCCACGTGTTGAGCGAGTTATTACCAATATTTTCACAACTGAATCAGATATTGAATCAAAAAGGTTAGGAGTCTATGATTCACATGGTTCAATCAGATTAGACAAATGGTTAAACTGGTAACGTAATAATTAAATTAAAAAATTAATAATGTATATAATAATCTAAATATAGAAAATAAATATGAAATTTCTACTTGACTTAAAAAAATAAATATTTTAAGTTTATCATAATTTAACAAACCACATAATATAACATAACATCAAATGATAAAAAAAATTGGTCATTTCCTAAAAAAATTAATAAAAAATTTAGGAAAAAAAACTTTTTTGTTAAACAGTTCGGTTTTTGAAAACTAAATCTGGTTCGACCGTCAATCAAAAATGGCCCAACCTGACTCAACCCCCAAAACAGTTCTTACATGCTGACCGAAGTTTGATCTAATCTAATTTTTTAATCACTGGTTATTACAATCTGAAGGTAGAAAACTAGCAACAAAATCTGGTAGAGAGCTAAAGCAATGAAGGCCTGGCCAGCTACTAATAGCATGTTGAGCAAGAGCATTTGGAACAACATTACCCTCTCTAAGAATATGATGCATGTCTACTTCCCAATCCCTCCGCATGAAAGCTTGGATCTTAAGAATAATAGTTCTAGTTGTTAAAAATTATGCCTTAAAGGCAATCATTATACTATGAATATTGTTATTTAATAAATTTCTCTTTTATTATCATATCAATTGCATATTCACTATCATAACTATATTCTTAGACAAACTATAGTAATTGTCCTAAATGTCCCTAGTCGATCACCTATTAGAAATCATAGATGAAACAAGACTAATATGACTTCAATTAATTATAAAGATATAAATCAAAGTTGTTGGCACTTAAAAGTGTACAAGGTCCTAGACCGATCTGCTATGAGAAAGTTGCATGATACAAATCATAAGCTTATCTCATATATAACCATATCACTGAGCTATTTGACCTGAGATCATCCTGAATTCCTACATGATGACTATTAAACTTTGACCTAGTTAAAAGTCAACTTTGACTAGGTAATCATAAAAGCTATGATTGAGTTTAATGATTTCATGCAGAGAAATATGAGTGGTCAAGATGAAATTTGTCGCTCACATTAAGTGAGAGATATTACTAGGCCATCGATAAGTAAGATTGAGAAAATGTATGGTCATACTACAATAGAAAGGGTTTTTCCATTAATATA